AAAATTTTAGATGTATGTATCCCTAGTTAAATTTTCAGATACTTCAACAAAATCGTTCTTTCCGTGCGATTTCGATGAAGGATTTTCCACCGTGCATTTAAACGCGCGTTTATCGCGTGCGCTACTTTATTTTCTTTTTTTTTTTATTTTTTTTTTTCATCTCGACATTCGAAACCGGCACGCGAGTTAGCATCGCATCACATCGTCTCGAACAAGCGAGGACGAGTCTCGAAACACGAGCCTGCCGTCTCGATTTCCTTCGTAAATCAGGAGAGCTCGGTATATTTTTACGGCAGGGGCGTCGATATCGGATCCCAAGGGGGCATAGACATTGGCGTCTTTCTTCCCTCCTCTTTCAGTTCCCTCTCGGAAAGCGAACGTATCGCGCCCTACGCCTGGGATTCACCCTCGAATTAAAAGAGCAGCCATCTCGGCCACCTTCCCTTTTTCCTCCCCCTTCTCGTCTTACCCCGCACGGATTAGGGAATGAAGGTGTGAGAAAGGTTACGGGAAGATGAAGAAAATAGAGAAATGAAGTTAATATTATACATGAAACGCTGAATCAGCCATATTAAATATATAATTTTACGTTAAGTACGGAGATGACTAAAGGAGATGCATTGAGAAAAAAACAAATTATATTTTGCATAAATAATTTTAATAATTTCATTTTCCAGTTTTGTGCATCTTTCTAATGTGCAAACTATTAATTTTGACAATTAATGACGCTCTCGTCATCTCGCTTTTATAGCGTTTGCGATACATACCGATGCACATCTAGTAACGTCTTCGGTATTCTGACATTCTTCCACACCTCGTTTCCACATCCGCGTTAAAATGGCGACAACGTCATAGAGAAAAGCTGCCCTAATCTCGCGAACGACGCCGGGTGTGCGATAATTCAGACCATCCCGGCGAGTCTTACAGCGGGGTACCAACCGGCGCTCTTAGAGAGAGGAATACGGCCGGGATCCACGTGCGACGAAACACAACCCTCGAGATAATTTAGATTCGTAGAGCGAAGCACAGCAACAGAGAAGACCGGTGGCAGAACGTTGGCGGTGTGTATTGATCTAAACGGGAACCCGTGAAAGCAATTAAGATAAGGCACGGTAACAAAGGGTTGTCGGCTGCTACCCCGCTTTCCGCGATGGAAAACAACGCGGTGACGGCGGATAGCGAAAGGAACAGACGGGGGGGGAGGGGGTGCAGATATACGTGAAGGAGGAAATACGAGGTCTAGGCTGGATGTTAAAAGGCGATCGAGAAAGCTCGACATTTATTACAAAAGCGGACTATGGCGAACGCGAACCGAGGTTTTGACCCATGAAATTATAATCCATTTGTGTGATACCTAAAGTTGCCTGAGCTACTGCTACTGTGCCGTTCGCATTCATTGAAGCGAGTTATTCGTTCGTCTGTTCCGTCGCTTGCTCACTCGCTCGATCTCGATTCGATTTTATACATATAAGGCAATTACAATTTAAAATAGTCTCCGATGATAATAAATCTAATGAATAAGAGGTTATCCCATTTTTCTATCGAAGCAGATCTTTGTGCTCAAATATTTCTGTGTGAATTTATATACACACATTTATATACGTATCTGATTCTGCAAATTGCACGACGAAATCTTTTTTACGCTGTTTTTGCAGAAGTAAACATCAATCATGAATAAAGAACAGTAATATATCACATATTAAATTGACAAGCAATTTAATAATTTACATACATAAAATATTTACGATATTCGCTGCTCGTCGTAATCAAAGACATTAGTGTTAACGCGTTATTTTTCAAGGTTCTCTCAATCATTTAAACCGTTTTCGCGGCGCACAAATTAATCGTGCAATTAGCCTGCAAGTAGGCCTCTCTTCAATAAGGTGCCGTATTAATGTACTTCATTCGCAAACGACCCTCGAGAACGACGACGTTACGTTTTAGCAGGTATGAGTTTATATACTGGGTGTCCCGTATACAGATCCGCGCGTCGCACACGTGTCAATCGTAGATAGAGGGAGAGAGAGGGAAAGGGATAGCAGGAAAATGTGGCAGAAAGACAGAGACGTGGGGAGCAACGAGAGCAAGAGCAAACGGCTCGAGCAGACCGTCTGAGTCGTAAAATGTTAACTGCTAGTAAAACTGAGTTTACGCGCTTGTAAGGACCCCCGCAGGAGGCTGCTGCCATCCCTGGCCCCTCTTCAGCTTGGCAGCACGCAGAGTCGCCCCTTACACCCCCTAATAGCCAGATTATTGCTCGTAAGCCAGCCACCCCCGTCGTCTGCCCGTCTCCCGCGTGAACACGGAAATAATTCCGAAAGAACGTTTAATTTGCACGTTTTCTTAGACTCCTTGTTATTGGATACCAATAATAAGGGGACTGAGTACCGTCGCCATCTGAATTTCGAAACATTGTAATACATGTATTGTAATACATGCGTTCGACATCAATTCAACTCACAGTTCTTATTAACTCTTTCGATTTACAATTTTTATCACGAGAGGGAAAAGGAAGAATAATTTTGTAGAAGACACTAAAGTCATCTAAACGGATAAAGCATCACAATTTGTACGTCGTTTAACTCAAATTCAAAAGTGAGTGCAATTATCTTAACCTTTGTCAGGTTAGGCTAATTAAGTATACTTAAAGTGTAAAGTTACATAAAATGTGTACTATCCGGCGCTAATTTAGCTCCAAAGTTAAATTTCGCGGATATTTTGTCTTGTTGACAAAATGTGACTTTAAGACACGGTTTTCGTAATTGTATAAGAATGATTATTATCATATGCTGTTGGATTTATTTTTTTTCTTCTTTCTTTCTCTCAAGAGCCTTTCTTTTTTCCACATTATGTTATAAATTATAAAATAAACTTCGATTACAAGGATTAAAATTGATACAATCTTTTTTCATAGATAAGAGGACAAACATTTATTTCTATCTTAAAACGAGCGCTCGTATCAGCGATCGAAATTGCTTGGCCTTTTAACTTTCAATGGTGCAAGTTCTTCCGCATCGCCGTAAACCGGCGTTTTATTCCACCGCCCTCGGCGAGAGACGCCGTCCAGAGGTTTTTCATTTTTAATTACCCACAGCGCCGTGAAAAGTTTCTCGGCACTGCACGAAAGTTTTAATGGCTGCGTTGACTGTCGTTAACCCCTTCTTAAGTCATCCGTGGAAGTGCCGCGGAACGTGCTACGATTTCGAAACTTATTTGACTTCATTCTTGAAGCTCGTTTGATTCGGCCATACCTTTCTCCACCGTGATTCAATTTTCAACATCATTCATTCGAAACGTCACTGAAGGAATAATGAATTAGCGTTTGCTCGATCCAGAAATAACAGATTCATTCTGATTTTTCGAAATTAATATCTTATTTCGCTCTTCCCTGTAAAAATATTTTCTGTCTTCCGCGAAGACAATTAGCCCCAAAACAGGTTTTTAACAATTGAGAAATTACGAGTCTTGCAATTTTTTACTTGAAGAAACTTGTTTCCCTGTCATTTAAAGCTACACAAAGTCTCCTCATATCAGAATCCCCCTAGAATCTTGCCGAGGAAACAGAAGTCTAGCCCCTCTTTTCCACTGGCATAATTGTTACACTTCATATAAATGCATTAGCTCTGCGCATTCGTTTCACGCCTCCGCGAGTCCACGAGAAGTCTCGTTCGTTCCCCTTTCTTCGTTCGTCTCTCCGGGGACTTTTTTCGCGAGCTGTGGCGAAAAGTGGCGGACGAGAAAAGTTTTCAGCGAATTCAAGTAGCGACTTGGGCAATTGCAAACGCGAATTCATTCATAAAGTCACATCGAGAAGGAAGGTAATAACGTGAAATTATCGTTCGAATTTTCTTGGAGAAACGTAAGAAATAATATTAAAATATTCGCAAAAAAAATTGATGATAAATATGAAACAAATTTCCCGTAAAATCCATCTTTATGTTTTCAAAGATAATCAATAAATGTTTTCAAATTTTTCACATTATCTTTAGATAGAATTATTAGGTGTTGGAATTAATTCGTAGCGTTTTACAAGTGATGGGAAGTACTTTCATTAATGTATTTTTTAATGCTCATGTGAAATAAATAACATTCTTTCATTAAAAACGCTACGAATTAATTCCAACACCTAATAGTTTATATTTTTTATTGTATCATATACGTCATAATTTGTCAAGATTTTAGATTGACTAGATATAATCTTGCTATAAACAGGATAGTATATCTTGTATGCCAGAGTTCAGTCTTCTCTGAAGACGAAGAGATTCCTCTTGACGCTTCGTCAAAGAAGCTGAGAGTTTCTTGTTTCGCTTGCATGCCAGTATTTGCCTCGGGTGAGGGTGCTAACTGTCGAAGACGACAGGGTTAACATCTTCGTGGTGGCAGGGAGTTTCGCGCGAAGATAGGGGGAAAATCGGAGGATATACGAAAGGCAGAGTATAGAATGTCCCTCGCTCTGCGGTTTTATGGGTCGTCCAGCTCCATCATGCGCCATAAAAGTACAATAAAACCGCTGTTACACCGTGGAGAACTACCCGTTCTAAACCACTGCGTGCAACGGGTCCTTAAGACGAGAAGAAGACTGACGGAGACGCTTGGGGAGACGACCAGAGGCAAAATTGATTCTTTTATGATCGACAAACGCGCGACCCCGAACTAGGATCGATTTGCAAGCAACCCATTTTATTTTTACGTGAATACATGCAGATATATTCCCCTCTGTCTCTTTGAGATCCTTCAAATCGAATTAACCGTTCTAAATAATTCAGAGTATAGAAGTTACGAGCGTAAAATACATAAGGAACGTGATTTCAAAAGTCACATTTCTGTAAAATAACTATTCTTTGGAGAAACTTAAAATTATTTTTTTCTACTCTCTAAACCTGAATCAGCGGAGAATCACACTGATATCAGTATGCCATTGGTAATCAGTGGTAATATTACATTCCCCTATGTATATGAATATATTGTAATTTTAACGTGGCGCTTTCGTCTGTTTTCAGTTTTGTCACTGAGAAACACGCAAGAAGAGGAGCCGCCAGACCCGCAACTAATGAGGCTGGACAACATGCTGATCGCCGAGGGAGTCGCTGGACCAGAGAAGGGCGGTGGTGCGGGGGCCGCTGCATCGGCATCCGCGGCAGCTGCGGCTGGTCCACCCGGGCAACCGGACAACGCGATCGAGCATTCGGACTATAGGGCTAAACTTGCTCAGATTAGGCAAATTTATCATCAAGAACTAGAAAAATACGAGCAGGTTCGTATAAAGGAAATGTCGAAAAAATATTATCGAGTGGCTTGAAATATATTTCAGCTTTAACTTTTGCGAGAGAGAGAGAGAGAGAGGGCATCGTGCGCTTTTTGTGTATACCGGATTTCCGTCTGCAAATTGCATAATGGACACTCGCGTTTGGTTCGCCGAATTTAATCTTGATGAATTTATAAATGTACTGCAAATACAAAATGGCCAACCGACCCATTAAGCCAAACGGGTTAAGTTTAACTCGCGTATTGATTTTCGTAGCGCGCGGCGCCGCAGTCAAACATTTTTACGTTTGCGCGCGCGACGTCGCAAAATCCCCTCTCACTCCCACGAAAATTATTCATTTCAAAGAGAGAGAGAGAGAGAGAGAGAGAGAGAGCAGGCGAACACGCTCGCTTTATGCAAATCCCGCTTATGAATATTATTCGCCGCGAGCGAACGGCGGCGGCCCATTATCGACGCCATATCGAGTATTGAATTCGGGTCGCGGAATTACATCGGTCGTTTTATCGTCGTCCGACTTTGTGAGCGCGAAAAAAAAAGAAAGAGAAATAAAGAGAGAGAGAGAGAGAAAGAGAGAAACGGAAAAGGCGAACTGAAAGACTGAAATGAACTCGCGGCGCGTAAACGAGCGCCGTTATTCACTCTCGCCGAGAGAACTCTCGGCGAAATGAAAAATTTAAACGCGTAACCTCGCGGTTATCGTCGAGATCCGGCGGCTGACAAATTTCGGCCATCCCGGTGCGCTATCAGCCCTCTCGATTCCACCATCGATAATCTCTCCGCTCGTGAAATTCAACGACGTCAACGCGAATTTATCGTCCGCCGACGATCTCGCGGTCTCGTTAAGGTTGCGTAATATGCTGGAGCGAATTCTCACCGTGATACAAACAACGATCACAGGCGGTCACGAGTCCGCGCGATAAAACGATCGATTGAAAATTCACACTGTAATTCCGCGTAATCCACGGGTATTAGACGGTGATCTTCATTAATAACGCGTTATTAAATCGCTAGTGAGATGATCGTTGTAATCAAGCGATTTTCACGGCACGTACTTTCACGATCTTCTACCAAAAGGAAAGCGTCAATAATTCCCTTGCGGCGTGTCATACATATACAGGGTGTTCCAGGTGGAAAGATTAATATTCTAAGAGATGACGAGATATATAAGATATATCTCGTCATCTCTTAGAATATTAATCTCTATCTCTATATATATCGACTGATATATCTTATAATATCTCTATATATCTCTCTCGAGATATATAAGAGATATTATAAGATGTATCAGTCGTTTTGAGTAGAAATGTTTATATGAAAACGTGTATCTTATTCTGAACGGTTTCCGAGATAGTTTGAACAGTGGGTTTTTGAAAATTTATTATAAACTTTTAACGTCTCACTTGAACAATGGACTATTAGAAAATCTACGTAGTATCTCTTTTTTAATAGTATAATTTTGTAAACTGCAAATTCAATCTCGAAAATCGTTCAGAATAATAAGACACGTGCCAAAGGGTTTGCGGGTTATCGCCATGTCGTGATCCATAATGGCATTAGCAATGGATCACGACACGGCGATAACCCACAAACCCTTTGGCACCCCTGAAGAAAATACCCGTGAAAGCTTCAAAAGAATAAGACACGTGTTCATAAACATTTTTACTTAAAGGGTTATTTCCCAGAATATTGACCTTTCCTCTTGGAACATCCTATATGCATCGATTTAAACAGATATTAAGGAGTCTGTATGGCCTATTCCGTAACTCTTTAACGACAATTTTACTAGCTAGGAATGTCGTTACGCAGGTATTTTACATTGTGAAAAAGCTGCACAACGACAATATAATCGATACCGAACTATCGTTAAAAGTTACAGAATAGGCCTACCTGATGTCGTCTGTTTTACTGACAAAAATACCAATTCGTATTAATTTCAGAATCAAAATTTCTTTTTCACAGTAAAATACACGTGCTAATATACGTATATCAGTTTGACACGATTCAATCGGAGTCTGGCCGTCACGTCAGCATTCTCTTAATGATTCTCGATTATGACGGAAACTCGTGTACTTTTTTTTTTCTGTGCGAACGTTTAATGGCGACTAGCTCGAAAGGGGGACTGATAAGAAAACGGAGAATGTTATGCACGTACATTCGAGAGAAACGACTGCCGTCGAGCTGGTCTCGGACGGGGCGACTCGCGTGCTAATGAAGCGGCTCGCGCTAAGTAAAATCTCGCGTGCCGGACCTTGCCTGTATGTCGCGTGATACACGGGTTCTTTCAAGAGGACGCAAATCACTATGTCGAGATATTGCCGCGCTCCGACGGAAATTCGACGATGTTATCGCAAGCAGTTTCATTAAGAATTTCCCCCTCGGTCGCTTCCTCTTGAAATCGCTGCCATGATTCGGTCGCGACGCGACGTGGCGCGCCGCGATAATTCGACCCGACAGGACAGCTTTGACGCTGGATAAGAAGACCCTCGTGAATTTGGTGAAGTAAAAAGTAAAAAAGTAAAAAGTTCCTCAGTCGATTAACTCGAATAAATAATATTAATTAAATGATCAAAGCTCGGAAACGCACGTGACTAATTAATAATACGTATAATAATCTGATGTATGAATTAAATGGTCAAAGCCCTTTCACGAAACATTTCACGAAATTATTACGTGGGAAATTTCCTCAAATGATACTCGGAATTACCCCTGACTCTTGCACGTAATTTTACTTTTAATTAATTTATTTGGAAAATAATTCAGCACGATTCAGAGATAGCTATCTGTGCGATTATCATCGCCGTCACGAGGCAAAGTCGCGGGGCGATTACAAAATCGCGCGTACTCATCACCGGTCGTGTTCACATCCCTTTTTCACCGGCGGGACAGATTACCGGTCATTCCGCTTGACATACGCGCGTAAAAGCCCTTACATTCGCATGACGTCGCGCGTAATCGGCTATTTTTACCGTAAATAGGGCCCGCTCATCGGCCCCAGGCGCATAACTCTTTTTAACGCCGCTCGCGTTTTCGCCGGCAGTTTTTCCTTGCCGCTCGCGTATATACGAGTACGTTCGCTCCCTATATACGTGGATATACAGCCGTGTGCATGCACACCCACGCGCGCACGTGTGCTTTAATTGCCACACCCGCTTCGACCCCATATTTCACCGTGTGTCAGCGGGCTTGACGTTTCCCCGCGGTAAACACGCACAGCCCCGGAGGTCCACCGGCGCGGTGTGGCGCATTCGTCAGGGTCGGATTAAAAGGGCATACCGTATTTTCGCGCAAAATGATTTTGACGTCACGCCTCGCTATTAACGGCGGTAACGTCGCGTCCTTTTATTTTAGAACGTTGGAAGAGCCAACGGGAGTTAACGCGTGCGTTATTACCGTCATTCGCGAAGCGATTTCCTCGAAGCTTTGGAGGCGCGCGTTCGTCCCGCGTGGCGAGCCGTCGCGTCGATGCGGAAATTGAAGATTACAGTTCTTGGAAAGTAGCAATTCGCGCTCTGCCGTCGTCGGTGGAAATCGTAAACGATGATTCGTGACCGTTCTTCTGGGATACGCCCTGGATCCGCCCCTGTAATGCGTGCGTGGCTCTTTGTAACCGCAACAATATGCGCGCCGAAAACGTATGCATTCGCGTGCAACTTTGCGATGCAACTCGTGCGTGCCGAGGGGTGGTCCGTTGATAAACGGGGCCGTTAACGAGTTTTAAATCTTCTCCCACTTTTCCAATTTCTTTTTCCTTCCTTTTTGCTTTTTGTAATCTCTCTCTTAACTTCGAATGGACTTGCCACGAAATTGTCATTTGTAGCTTAAATTATACGCAAAAGAATAACGAGTGTAACGATAGTTTGTTAAAGCTCCTCTTCCTCTTCCTCCCCCTCCCCTCCCCCGAGAAGAAAAGAACTCAATTGCGCACGGTATAACCAGAGGAAAATTTGCTAAAACGTACGATATAAATATTTCGTCGGATCTGAAAAGTTCAGTAATTGGTTTAGTTAGCGGGCCAACGTTGTCAGGACAGAAAGTTCGGCCATAAGCGAAATTTACTATTCAAATTCGGTCGACTCTGCTGCATTAGGGTGAATGTCTGCCTGACTATGCAACATGGCGTGACAAGCACGAGAATAGAACCGCATCGGGTTTTACGAGATCGCGTGATCACCGCCAGCAAACATCGTCTCTACCATGAATTTCGTCGGTGCATGCCCGCCTTTATTTTATCCGATTCCCAACTCTGATTCCGACCGCGCACACCTCGGACCTATCCCTGTATTGTATCTCGGAAAAAGCAATGCAGAATGCATCTTCCGTTTGCGGGAGGAGGTGGGAAGGGGAGGGAGGGAGGGGGGAGGTGGAGTGCGCTTTTTACGCGCGCATAAATATTTTGTTTTATTGCCTGGCTATACATCCCTTATTGCGGCTATATATCCGTTCGATGGTATGATCCACCACATGTAAATCGTATTATAAGTATGATAGCAGAATGTAAATATCTTACGTAAATATCTTTTGAAGTGTTACCATAATAATTTGAGAGAAAAAAAAAGATGATCCCAACCGAGGGGGGGGGGAAGGGGAAGGGGTAATATTTTATTGAACGAAACGGGATCTCGGAATAATTCGGAGTAAAATAACTCGGAGTAAAAGCACGACATCTTTATGTTCCTTTAAGTAAACTAATTAAATCGTCGTGTTATTTATTACGAGGAATGAAAGAAACGGTAGTGTCTCAACGGAAGCGTTCAGTGGCTCTTGGCGAAGCAAATTTTCTCACGGCGCTCTAATTTTACTGCGACACGCTCTATTAATACAGAGACGCATACGCGTATTGCGAGAATATATAGCGGAGGCCAGCATGCCTGGCTTCGCCAACGTTATGGAAATTCCGACGTGTGCATTGCTAAATATACTGGCGCCTGTTCGCTCTCCCTCTCTTTCTCTCTCTCTCTCACTCTCTCGGCGCGGTTATTCCCGCGGTTAGGGAAACAACCCGGAGAGAGTTTCCGATGGTTGCATAATCGAATTTATGCTTGCGGCTGATTTGTATCGTGGAGAGTGGCATAGATCCTAGCTATTTTGCAATTCAGTTTCTATCCCAAGTGTCCAGATTAAACCAACGTCACCTTCGAAGAAAAATTGGTGAAATGTCGTTCGGAGTGTCCCAGAAATATATGGATGTTGACAGTCACAGAAATCTAATCCTTGAGTAATCGAAAACATAAATTATTTTTTTCCTACTAATTCTTGTGAATGACTGAAAATCGAGTATTTTATCTTTAATAATTTCATCTATTCAGCTGGTCTAACATAAATCAAAGAATTTTTTTATTTGAAAGAATTTATGGAGATCCCAAAAAATATAGTTTGCCATTTATAATCGGTTGATCTTACATGACTCAAAGAATTTTTATTACTTGGAGGAATTTATGAAGATCCCAGAAATTAGTTTGTCGATTACAATTGTGTATAAAATCTTGTATGCTTCAAGAATTATGCAATAAATTACCGCAACACATTGGGTCAAATCCGTCTTGACATAGGATTGCAAAGAGTTAATATTGTCGACTCTGTAGCATGAGAACCTATCGGATGATAGTATCATTTATTCCGAGACTTGAAGCGTTTCAGAAATTAAAGGAAATCAGTCCGGAGAAATGTGAACTGGCTTTTCTATCCAATTCAGCAACGTTCCTTTCGTTCTTTGCACCTTCTCCCTCTTTCTCTCTCTCTCTCTCTCTCTCTCTCTCTCTCTCTCTCTCTCTCTCTCTCTCTCTCTCTCTCTCTCTCTCTCTCTCTCTCTCTCTGTCACGTGCAACAGCCGGGAAGACGGGAACGGGGTTGATCCACCCTAGTTGAGTCCCGCGCGAAGAAAGGAACGAAGAGGAAGAGAAGCCGCATCGGAGTGGATCGAGAGAGGAGAAAAGGGAGAGGGGAGTTCGTCGGCGGAATGGAATCCATTTCGAAATTGCAAGCCACCCTGTTCGATCCCCCTTTCTCCACCGCCCACCCTTCGTATCCTGACACCCTCCCGCGGCCTTTTCCTGGCTCCTTCCCTCAGGAAAAGCCACTCCCCCTGCTCGACTCACACCGCCCGTCTCGCTCTCTATCTCTCTGGCTCGCTCCCTTTCGGGAGACAGCGTGCTCGCCTCGAATACTGATATCGAGCAAAGTCCTTTTTCCCTTAAACCGAGCAGCCACCAGGAATAATGCATTATACGTACGCGTCCTTCGTCTCTCACTACCTCTCTCGCTTCGTCGCTCGACTTTTCCTCTCATACTCTGATCATAGTACCTTTCCTTCGTGTCTTGCTAGTCTTAGCTCTCTCCGCCTTTCATCATGTCGACGAGCTCGAAATGTACTCAAATTTGCCCTGAAACAGTTTTATATTTTTAATTAACAGTTTATCTCATAATGAATGTCTTACATTAGATTCGACGCGTCTCCTGTTGAATGATTAATGGTTGGTAAAACCCGACGTTTTGTCTTTATTTGTTTTAGGCTTGTAACGAATTCACTACTCACGTAATGAACTTGTTGAGGGAACAAAGTCGTACCAGGCCGATTACGCCTAAAGAAATTGAAAGGATGGTTCAGATTATTCACAAGAAATTCTCCAGCATCCAAATGCAGCTGAAACAGTCTACTTGCGAAGCAGTGATGATCCTGAGGAGTCGATTTTTGGATGCCAGGTTCGTGTTATATTCGTGAAACAATAATACAAGTAATAGATGTATATAAATATTTATCATCATAATCATTTTTGTGCCTTTTGTGTATCCAAATTCGGAAAATATTCACCGCAATTAACATGATACGAATTGATTCTTGTTGCAGACGTAAAAGAAGAAATTTCAGCAAACAGGCGTCCGAAATTCTGAACGAATACTTTTATTCTCATCTTAGTAATCCCTATCCAAGTGAAGAGGCCAAGGAAGAGCTCGCACGAAAATGCGGAATTACCGTGAGTCAGGTATCGTCCATTATTTTCTCTTATACGTATTAGGCGATGAACTTTTGTAACTTATAATATTTGGCATCGTACTATGGCTTTTAATTTTTATAATAATTTTAAAAAGTTTTTAAGCTTATTCTTTAAAGAAGATATTACGGCGCTGAGTAAAATATTTTATTAAACACTTCGATGAAAAAGAATTAGGTATATTGGACGTGTGTGAGACAAATTTTTGTCTCCCTTTAGTGTTGAAATTGAAATGAGCGCGTATCTTTATTCTGTTTGCTATCAGGTGTCCAATTGGTTCGGAAATAAGAGGATACGCTATAAGAAGAACATCGGTAAAGCGCAAGAGGAAGCGAATCTGTACGCAGCCAAGAAGGCAGCTGGTAGGTTCCAACTTCGCTAAGTGGGTGTCCCTTTACGAATTTGTTTTGCTTCAAGCATGAGGAAAATTTTGTAATAGTAATTCACAAAATTGATAAAATGTCCATATATGAATATCTCCGTGATTGGAAAGCAACATTTTGTTAATGAAAATCAGAAACGATTTTATTTTATGAATGGCAATTTATAAAACGTTTTCTAAAGTGCTACCTTTTATGTTGCTACCATTATTTTTATCTCTCAATGCTCCCCCGGACTTATTGCTCTTTTGGTTACATTGGAACTTCGCCGAGGAAAAGCGAATTAAAAGCGAGAAATGTAAATTGTTCTCCTGTAAATTGAAGCAATTAACAGACAAATCGTGGTACATATTTTTTCTCATATTTTTTTAAACATTAAGCTAAGAATCGAGATAGAGGAAGTCTCATTACTGTAAATCATTAGGCGACTGAGTTACTGCCTATTGTTTGGCGCCGCAGTGACATTATTATTGCAACCGTTGATGAATCGCCGACGAAGAATAAATTTAGCGTTTGTTTTCTTTGGCACGTGATGCTTAGAAGAAACATCTCCGTGATTAAATCTTTTAAAAAATTTCTTGTTTTCAAAAGTTGCGAAGCACATATAGAGCTATGAAGTTTTCGTTTCATCTTTTGGGATGAACTTTCTCATTTCATCCTCGCTTACTATCTATTTTTGTCTTTCACTACCAGCCTTGAAGACGATGAGAATTCCTTTTTCTCGTAAAAATTGCAAGAAAAATTCCCGATCCCATTCCGAAATTCCACGGATTCGTGGATCTCACCCTGGTCGCAATTACGCGCGCTTCGCTTAACTACCGAGGCATCTCACTTTATTTCGGACGCGTGAGATATTTTTAACTCACCAATTATACTTGGGAGAGAAGGGGAGAACACGAGTCAGATGGCGAGAGAGGATGGGTGAGACGCTGGGGGTACGATGGAAATTCCGGGCTTCTCGCATTTCTTTCAGCACTCTCTGCGTTTGTCTTTCCTCGCCCACGTTTGCGATGAAACGACCCGCGGTCCTCTCGTAATTAAAGAAACGGAATTCTAACGACCTAACTCTGCGAAACAACGCTTGTCTCGAATGGCGCGAAGGTTTTACAAGCGCGGAACACTCTACTGCAGAAGCCGCCGGGTACGGTTCATACAAATCTGAAGCAAATTATGAGAAAGCTCGGATATTGTCGGAGGAAAAAGACGAATTGAAATTATTAACGCATTTACATTCAGAAGCAGTGATACATTATACAAGTTTAATTAGTCTTTCTATATCGTTCCTTAAATATATCTTTGCAATAATTGGACTACGTTATTACGTTTTTTCACGAGCCAAAAAGAGAGCATAAGCTCGCGAGACACGAGAGACAAAATCGCTTAAAAAGAAAAAAGTCGCACCCTCGAATTTTGTATGCACCGCGATTGTTTCTACAGCAGCTTTTGCAGGAGCATCGCCGTACAGTATGGGCGGTGCCAGCCAAGGCACCCCGACGCCGATGATGTCGCCGGCGCCGCCCGGAGGACCGCAGGACATGGCCGGATACAGCATGGGAATAAACGGCAGCGACTACGGTTCGCAGCCGTACAACGATGGCTCTATGGGATACGACCCCATGCATCAGGTAAAATTTACGTAGTCTCTCAGAACGCTCACTGTTGCGCGGTGTTTCCTCATTAGCCGGTTCTGGTAGTCAATGTCGCTCGCTTTTTGGAATACGCATTCACATTTACTAAGCATGAGCTTATCCTAGAACGTTATGCACACTATGTGGGATTACGCTGTGGCTCGGAAACGCACTGCCTCTGAAAGAATAGCTGAGAGCGTTGAATCTGATCAATCTCCGGATACGAAGAAAGGAATTATAATAAATTGAACGATTGACTTTTATTATGACGAAAACTTGCTCATGTGATTAAGTTTATGAATTTGATCTTTTATTGGTAAGAAATTACAACCAAGTGTTTTCCTCCGATCTTAATAAGCTTTGGATGTTAAAATATAGACAAAATAGATATATTTTTTTGTAATGTTTTTTTTCCATTGAATGGGTCTTACAATCCTTTCTTAAAAAAAAAAAATTAATATTTTTTTCTTCTTGAGTAAATATCGTTCTAAATCGTCAGATATAAAAACAGTTTTAAGGCTCCTGAGAGTATTCACTCATATTGAATCATAAGCGAGAAATGTGTCATAAGCGACACATTGATTTTTTTTGCATGCCATTTGTAAATAAAGAGAATTTGGATGAAATGAAATGATGAGATCGTTTTAAAAATGATCGAGAACTATCCTTATTTCCTTTGACAGTCAATAAATAGTCGTAAAAGGCACATAAAATGCGTTTATTAATTTTTATTCAATGTGTATACATGTTCACTTCACGAACCTTTTTCGACCTATCAGGGAAGATAAGGAAAATCTTTGTTCATTTTTACAAGTGTTTTAAAGCGATCTCATCGTTTCGTTTCATCCAAATTCTCTTTATTTATAAATGGTATGCAAGAAAAATCAACCATTTCTCGCTTATGATCATCATGATTCAATATGGCTGAAAACAACTACTCAAGAGCTTTAAAAAGTTTAAAAAAATGTTTTCAAGATTATTTATAATAATGATCAACAAAATTTTTTAGAGTAATTTTTATATATAAATAAAATTGTTTATAAATATTATAACAATTTTTATAAATAAAATTTTTTATAAATAAAAATCTTTAAAAAAAATTAGAAGAAATATAAAAAGATGTTATTTTATTAGAATTATAAAGTACCTTCGAAACTATTCGAAACTATTTTTGCTTATATAACTTTTACTTTATACAAAACAATATTCACTCAGGAGAAAATCGATCTTTTCCACAAACTATTTTTAAGAAAAGTATGCATCTCTTATTTCTGTCTATATTTTAACGTATTTAAGACTTATTAAAAATAGAAGGAGACATTTCTTCTTTGTGAAAAATTTCATCAAAAGTTTATTTAGTAATAAATTATTACATGTAATTATTTCATCTCTTTAAGAGAAATTTGTATTTAATATTTCGATGATGATTATTTTAAAGTTTGAACTGTAATATATCAAAATTAAAATTGGATTGCTGAAATTTTTATCATTTTGTATATATTTTTGTATTCTGAAATTTTTATATTTAAAAATCGGTAAAAAAATAAAATTCGATATTGAATATACATTTCTTTTTATTTTATTTAATGCTCCTTAAAATTACAACTCCTAATTAATTTTATTTCCTCAATATACCATTATTATCGCATATCCTATCATTTAGATGTTCATCTCTCTTTTTTCGCATAAATCATGCGAGCATATGAAGTTATTACTGAAATCTGCTGTCTTCGCGCAAATTGCTTCCCTGCAGTTCCAAGCCACGGCATTGCATCTCGATGAATGCATGCGCATCTCACCTTTCGCATACTCACACTCACTACAAGAGAGAAAGAGGGAGAGAACGAAAAGAGAGAGAACAAGAACGATATTAGAGCAGGGGGGGAGAGAGAGAGAGAGAGAAAGAGAGAAGAAAAGAAAGGGTAGCGGTGAAGGAGTCTGCTTGAGTTTCAGGATGATTACGATGCCATATACAGGGAACAGACCCTCTTGTAAAACAACCCGAATGCATAAAGAGAGCATTACGCATAATGCCATTTTGGTTTTATATTACACGATTGAATTAAACGTAACTTTTTTATTTTTTTTCCAGATTTCCGCGATTTTTCAGATGTGTAAATAAAATGCGAGTTCCATTCCGTTATAATTTCCGGGAATTGACTAAGTATTTATATACTTGAAATTTAATTGACCTCAAGAACTGAAAAAATTGGCATGCGTACCCCTTTTACCCCTGTATATGGATGTGCGTGCATGTGAGTGCGTGCGATTAAATGTGTACGTGTGTGCTGGAAAATATATATATATATATATATATATATATATATTGTGTTGCCGGATACGCTATTGCTGGTCCTGTAAAGACGGGCTCGAGGGCGCCGACAGTCGTGGTGCGAAGGGTGTGTTGGATCGAGTAGGGGTGCCAGGGTAGAACCTGCACAGATATGTACAAACACACACACACACACACACACACACACACACACGTAAAATACACGTACATACACAACTAGCAGCCAATAGCGCCAGGTTTGCTTAGTATGCATTGGAGTTGCTAAGTCACTTTTTAGACAGGGCTGGCTCTCTCACATATTAATGGAGCTAGTGGATGCGCGCCGCCTCTCCTAACGAGTCACCCGATGTCTCTGCGATGCAACGCAACGAAATGAATTTGGAACGGTGGAAAATTTGCGGTATTTTCTTCGATCACACTCGACAGTCTTCCCCACTGAGGTTCCTTTTATATCAATCTTTGATAAATACTTTTCGCGTTGCTTTTTTTCATCGAATGTCGTTAAGGACCTTCGCATAAATTGTTCGTTATCTTCTTCCTCCTCCTTCTTCATTAGATTCTTCTTTAACCTTCGTAAATTCGCTGAGACTATTTATAGCCCGGATTTGCTTCCATAGTTTATTGTACTGCCCTCACAGTCGAGCCGTTTAAATCGACGTAAGCAGTTTTATAAAATTTTCATCGAGAACCTTATAGAAATTTAAAGAATTCTAGAACGAAGAATACTTCATCTCGCAATTCACAAATTGACACATACATGCTAATTTCCGCTTTGATATCGGCGCTTCGCATGAGGATACGTCTCGTAACGTCTCTAGCGTGGCTCTTCGTTCTTCGAACGTAGTAAATCTCGCTGACGTACAATTTCAACGATGTCGCGTGACACGGAGTGACGTTAAATTAAATTTGCGGGTAAACACAGTGAGCGGGAGTATTCGGGAAGTCTGGCAGGGGATTCCTGTAGGAATTTCAAGCCGATGGATCCAATATCTGACATGTCAATACGCTGATCACTTGTCGATGTTTCGTTTCGACTACAATTCTATCGTGGGATAAAAAAAATCGTTACATTTGTCCGATGAATCATTTGTCGAGGAGCTTATTTAATCCGCATGTTTTCGATTTCGACAAGATACCGTTATTAAATTATCGTTGAGAAGATCGTAATAATATATTTGCGCAGTATTTCTTTCGTTTTTCTTTTCGACAAAACCTCTATTTTAGAAAGCGCGTCGAACTCGATCGGAATCGAGGCCATCCTAGGAAAGCCCGGGAGGAAATTAATTTCGTGGTTGATCCGGTTCACCTAGAAATTCTACGATCGCGCGGGATCACGTGGTGCCGCAAGGGTTGAAATGAAGCGACTAAAATGCATGCTCGTAACCGTGCTGTTCCGCAGTCACTTCCGGCTTCTGTATAGCTCTCCACCTTCTTTATCGATCCGAAACAGAGCCCGTCTTCTCCTGTATCTTCTTGCTGGCGTTAAGTTCCATCAGTTTTATCGTTCGATCGATGTGTCTTCAAACCGGTTCGTCGAGAAACACAAAACACGTAGCGAATTTACGGATCAATTTTATTTTTAGCTATTTTCACGATCAAACTCGCTTCTTTTTTGCACAATAAAGCGCTATCTTTTAGTTCAACCGATTTAAATTCTTAATCCATCTTAAGAAGTATAAAAGAAGTATAAAAGCAATATTACGGTTCTTTCGATTAACCGTTCATTACGTGTCGTTTATCCAGAAAATATCGTACTATCTTTCAGTCTGTTTAAGTGAAATTTCTAATTTCACTCGTGAAAGGCAGACACAGCGAGCTCGTACGTATCAACTTTGCTTTTAGCTGAACGTCACCGCTTCTGGATTCTAATCCATTTCGTTGTTCTAATGAGATAGAATTTGCAATTTCTTGTCACATCGATCTCTCCAAGGTCTTTCCAGCTTCGACGTTGCATTAAGTTTTGACAGTGAAGTTCGACATGATCGGCTCTAATAACGAAGTTTGCGACGACAACAATTCCCTTCCTTTGACAATGCTGCAGCTGGCACTAACTACTTTTCCCGTAATCGCATACGTAACAAATGAGCATTCGCTTTATTACACTCTTACACGAGCACAAAGAGCCTCTCTCACACGCCGGCCGATTGACTCCTAACATTTTGCACCGGTCAAGTAATGTAATCCACTTGTATATTTCGTCATAATCTATCTTTATCACCGCCTCGTTTTGTCTTCGCCGTCCCTCCCGCTCCTTCACTCTTCTTTTAATCTCGTTCTAATCAGTTGTTGGTTGGTATTTCGAATCTAACAAGTAACAGTAACAGTAAGGAGTTGCGGAACTGTGTTTGTTGCAACGAAGAGAGGAACGCGAAGTTCGTACGAAAGCACCTCCACCGTCCAACGGAGGAGGGAAGCGAAGATGCTTTTCCTTCCTAATCCAGCCGTTTTCGGATTACCGTCTTTTGCTATTTTGCGCGCGTACCGCCACAATATGCGTTATTAAAATATCGAGAATGACGTTTTGAGAAGAAAGACGGCGCATTGTCGCAAGCACAGTTCTAGTACGGTCTCTGCTACCTACGTTACTGTCACGATCCATTCGGTCGTCTGCTGCGCCGTCTCTTCTACTCTCCATCACCTTGACGATCCGTCTCGGAAGCCGCGAAATCGCGCGAACGGTTCGCGACGGTTCGGAAACGATCCCAGGCGACGTGCATTTCTTCTCTTATCGTTCGCGAAGAGATTACGTTATGCAAATCTAAACGAGGAATTTTCAACTAGCCGCACAAATCGGATTTAACTTTGGAAATAGAAGATTGCAATCGGACAAATTCTTGTCAGGATCTTAAATTACGATTCGACGCGAGGTCGTTAAAAAAAAAAAAAAAAAAAAAAAAAGATCAGAAACTCCAATCCGACTCAATGACGTTTTTTTCTTGATGCAGATGAAACGAAATTCTTAGAAGGCGACAGAGAGTGAGAGAGAGACCCCGGATCAGACAGCCATGCAAAAGACACGCAGTCGAAGCTAAGATAGAGAGCGAGAGAGAGGGAGAGAAAGGATGGGAAAGTGTGAATCGTGCGAGAGACAGAAAGATAGAAGGATGAACGCGAATGGGGGAGAGAAAGGAGGAGAGAATGAAATCACACAGCTGGGGAAAAAGTTATAAGACGTGAACGTGAAAATCGGGACTGGTACGTGTACACTGATCTCGGCCTCTCGTGCTTTTTTTATTGTGTTTCCAGTGATACGTCAGGCCGGTCTAAAAGCGCTCGCAATCGTGTAGAAAAATTCAAACGAAACTCTAGCCGCAGTCTTTCGACGTGAGATAAAAGAGAAAGAGAAGAGTGAGATGAATGAGAGAAACGTTAAAAGGGTTAGAGATGATGAGAAAGAGAAAGTGCGAGCGAGAGAAAGAAATAGATGCTGACGAGGACCGGTCGGGACATCACATCGTTTTCCATTGCAACAAGCGCCTGATCTCTTTCCTTATAACTCGATTTTTAAGTAGAAAGAGAGGAAGGTCGTAGAAGAGATAGAGGATTTCGGCGAGAGATTCTAGGAACGAGAGGAGTACTCGGGGAGAGTGTTGTTAGGAGAGATCCTCTCCGGTTCGCGAGGTGCCAGTTCCGCTCTGATCTAACTCATCGATAGTGCAATATGTACGCAGGCAGATCCGCGTGTCTACGTGTTCCGGGGACGTTTCGAAATTTTTACTTCGAACCTGTGCTTCGCAGAGGCGTGCGTGGCGACAACGAGATTATCGCGTGTTTACTGCAGAGGAAGATCCCCCACGCTTCGTAGACCCGAAAAATAGAATTTATTTTCGAACTAAGCTGTGCACGTGGAGGAGGGGGGGGGGAGGGGAAGGACTGCGTGCGTCGCGACGCATGTTAAAGATGTGAACGCGATAAAGTCGAAACTCGTGCAAAGTCTAAGCGCCAGGGAGCGGTCGACAACAACCTCTGGATGACTCGGCGAAATTTGCTGCGAACGACGCTGAGAAGAATAGAAATTTCATAAAATTTCGACGTTACGA